TAGATGGGACACAGAAAAGAGTGGCAAGGACAGAAACCTCATTGTCTCACCTCACACAAGCCTCTGATACTTCAGGCAATCCACAGAGAACCCTACAGTCCCTGGTCTGAACCTGCCTAGTAGGGAGCATGCGCTATTGCTGAAGCGTGTAGCTTCAGGAAAATAAAAGACAAAGTTTGCTGTGAAAAGCCTGTAGCAGATCTGTACAAACATAGGTAATGACTACGAAGATCAGATTTTAGACTTCTTAGAACCCGGAATGTCCCGAGTAATTTGATTCAGGTTAGTCAAAATCTCAGTCTCTACTCTGAACTTTGAATTCACGCTTCTCCTTATCTTCAGTAATGTGAACTGTTTGGTACAAAGCAGCTAATCCATCTGACATCACCTGGTTTGGCACTCTTCCTGTTCTGTGTGTAACTGCGGCATGGAGAAATGTTAAGAGACTTTATTGTGTACTGTGTCTTTGAACGTAAGGTCATCTTTGTTTTTCTGGAAATAAATCTGTGAACAGTTAGCATAGAAACTTTTTCCATTTAACACTTAGAAGAGCATTGTGCAGAAGTAATAATTATAGTTGACACGATCTCAGGAAACACTTGGTCAAAAAGTTTCTGAATGTCTTTATACTGGGACCAAAATAGGCCAGATGTGTTTGCATCTACACTATGCTGAAATCATCGTTTCAGAGAGCTTTAATAATGCCTAATTAAACAGGATTTTTCTTGGGGGGTACACCTAACCAAACAAAAACAGTTAATTTTTTGGGTTGGTTTTATTTATTTATTCATCTCAAAGACTTTTCAATGCCGTTACATTACCTTGAAGATATTTCTGTGACTCTCTGCAGAGCTAAGTGCAGGTTGTGCTTCTCCCCTTCACGATGTTTAAAAGTTGACTTCATGCAGCCTCTCATGTTATGGCAAGAATGAGGTAAAGTGCATCAACTTAAACCTCAGTGTTTTACCTCCTGTTGTGATAGGCTGTAAAAGAACACAAAGCCAGATTCTGATGCTCCTCTGGAAGTCGAGAAACAGTGGCTCGTATTGAGACCTAGGCCAAGGAGATAAGTGACTGATCCTGTCTATTGCTATTCTAAAGGACAGAACACAGTAAAATGCAGCTGGACTTTATGTTAAAATGGAAGCTAAGACAACTGCCAAACTTTGAACTCTCACAAGGATTTTAAACCAAAGTCCTGTGCTGTTGAGACATGATGTAGCAACTCTATTACATTAACATGGAGTTGGTCTGATGCTTCCTCTGTGAAAGTGATAGCTTTCACTGAGCCTATATAGCCACAGCAGCAGGGCCTCTCTGCTATTTCCAGCTGAAACATTTTGGTGGTGACCATCGTTTGTTCTGCTCGGTAATTCTGAATAGGGCAGCCCAGCCTCCTTGTTGAGAGCAAGAAAAAAAGAAGAAGAAAGAGAAATATATTTTGCTCAAAGCCTTGCAAGGTTTTCCTGCTCAGACCTATATTGCTTCTGTTGGATCCTCTTGAAGCCTGTTGCTTCATCTGTTTATAATAACCCTACAAGCTTCAGTATGAGCATCTATGAGCTGCCCTATAAAGTGTTCTCTCCTAAATCGCTGGCGGTGGTTATGGGGCTTTTTTTTTTTTTTAAATAGTTAAGCCAAGCCAAATTTTGAGTTAAGTCCTATGTCTCAACTAATTTCCAGCGACTCAATTCGTTAGCTGCCAAGTGGGCTGCATGCCAATGCCTGATCAACAAGCCAATTTCTTCTTGATGGAAAGGTCGCAGTAGAGAGGCCCTTGGCTCCATCACATCCCTCTCATAAGCAGTACTGTACCCAGGCCTTCAAAATACTAGTCTTTCTAGTTCAATCTGGACATCAAATCGTATTTTCCTTGCCACTTCTGTTCATCAGACCTCTGAAGAAAACAGAGACTTAAATTCCCACAAAATGGACTGTCTGGAATCCATTTGTGATGGTAGGGTACATAGGGGCTCTGACAGCTTACCAATAGTCTCCTCTGCTTGAATTCTCTGACCTATATGAATCAAAAGAGGAAAAATGCTTGTGTTTGGCTCTGTGTTTTATTTTACTGCAGAACTGTGCCTCTTATACTACAAAATGCAGAGTAATGGTACCAATCTCTGTTTCTTTTCCAACCCACCAGTTCTAACAACAAAAACTGAAGCAGACATACCCAAACTCAAGTTCCTCTCCTCTTTGGAGAAAAGGTGATAAAAGCATCCCTGGGCAGCCAGTTGGCCCCCTTTAAGTGAGTGCATTTTGTTTTGGTACTTAGGAGATGCCTTGAAGTAATAAAGACAGGTTATGTCCCAGCATGCAGGAACAACACCAGTCTTAGAGAACAAAAAACCCACATCTGCATCTTGTAAGGAAACACATTTTCTTTTAGGTTTGTAAGAACTTATGACTATGAACAAGTGTGATGACAAACTGTTGGACAGACGCAGTGAGAGAAGAGCTTTTCTTTTGCTTATTTTAGTGCCCGAAAATGGAGGTTTAGAAGTGCATCAAAAGTAAAAAACTTACAAGAGACTGGAAAAAAAAAACAACAGAAACACCTCCTTTAGCCTGAATCATCAGTAACTCTCATTGCTGTCTGCTATTCTCCTTTTCTTTAACCCAGATTTACCTCCTGTTTTTTTTGTTTGATTTAGCCATGTAGCATTCAAGTGCATATTGGAGATGTTAGTTTATGCATCCAGCAAGCAAAACCCATTATCCTGAAGTTTTCAGCAGTTCAGTAGTTGTCAGAATTGTGCATGCCCCCTGATTCAAAAACTGATGCTGCAGGGAAGTGTGGCCTTGTCTGTTAACAGGGTGGGAACATCCTGCTCTCTGCACACCCACCACATATGATCTTTCTTTCGTTCCTGAGCTGGAACAAGTCTCACAGGGAGGCTGTGTTCCTCCCCACCAACTACATTTGGAATTCATCAGTGGGTCATTACCTCTTAGGCTGCTGCATCTGTATTTAGATGAAAGGTTTGTTATTAGAGCTAGCTAACTCATTTTGATCAGCACTCTCTAAAACTTGAAAGGCTAAGAGGCGCCCTGCCTTTTAAAGTGTGCTAAACTGGTCAAGTGAGAGTCTGAGGTGAGGTTAGGCTTTAATTTGCTTGTTTAGCACCTATTAAAACACACCCTGCTTTATTTACACTTGAGTTTTTGAATGTGTTAGCCAGAATGCATTGGCATATTACACCTTCCAGTCTAGAACAAGACCTTACTTTGCAGCGTACAGGATGTATAGGATGGCAGTTAGTTACACACGTGTATTGTGAGGAAGAGGGTACTTTTATTTGTATGAGCTGGATTTGTCTTTGCACGTACACACACGCACACACGTCCCTGCTTACAGACATACAGTTGCACAAACACCAGTATGAGGATTATGGTGCTCAGCCTGTCAGCTAATCTCCTACTTCTTTTTCTCTCCTTTCTACAGATATTTGCACACATTCCTCCCCACATGCATGCTCACACCGAGCAAATTCTCATACTGAGAGTGTCTGTTGGCTCAGAAACTGCTATCACCATTTCTTTATCATCTTCTTGTATGATTTCTGGCTTTTCCAGAGAATAATGAATAAGTGTTTTGGAAAAGAAAGGTGAAAATCATAATTTGATTCCTGCTTCTGATGTCAGCTGAAACAGGAAGGTACTTGGTTTTGCTTCCTATTGAGTAATGCAGCTTACTGTTTGGTCTCTAGCCTAGGAAGAGTACAGGAAAATCCCCACATTGTTTTAAATTATGGCATTAAACAAGATCTGTGACACACACGACTTTCCTGCGCATGCCTACTTTTTGGAATGACCTCATCCAAACAGTCCTAGAAAAATTGCTCTGCCAGTGAATTTAGTGGGGATTGTACTTAATTGGGACAATATGACTTTTGTGCATTTACCTTTTTTTCTTTTTCACATGGTCGTCAGAGCAGGCTAAAATACATGAAAGTGGTAGTCTTGTCATAAGACCAGGTGTTCCATCTGAAAGTATGTTTATAACCTTTTGTTCAGCTGCTTCTTCAGGATGTTTTCTTTTGTCAGTAGAGCTATGCATCTTCAGAAGGGTATCCATCTTAAGACTTCCCTCAGCCCTGCAACTGGAAAGAACAGCAAAACATCTACTTTTTTGCCTCTTTTGTTTTCTTTTGTCCCCTAAAAGATGGAAGGAATAGCTAATGTATAGGATGGATTCATAGAACTGAACTTTGGGGGTGAGGAGGAAAAGAATTTAAACCAGTCCCTCTATAATACAGGCAAAGAACATCTCTCCTCTTTAGACACAGGATTAGAGAAATGCTCAGAAGTCATCGGCACTACGCTGTTTGGTAACTACTTGAGTTTGTGCTTATTTTGGTTCCAAATACATCCTTAGCAGCAACTCTTAGCCATGAATGCACTTATTTCAGTTGTCTTTGGCATGCTAGCAGCTAAATGCAGTACAGAAACTGAACTAAGTTTTAATCTTTCTATAATCAGTTTAAATAAAACTGCTTTGAGTGATTTACCAAATTCCTGGTGTACAATGTTGATCCCACACTCTGGCCTGGAGCAGAGGGACTTTTGTTCCTATGATTTGTTAGGGTAAACAAGATGATTCATACAAAGAATGTGCAATCAGATTTGTGTGAAACTTGGCAGACTGTCCTAGCATGGTTCAACTAAACCTTGTTTTCATTTTTAGTGCACGTGTGTTCCTGCAAGTGCTTGCTCCTACTCTGATATTAATTTTGAAATTCAAAAAGTTTTGAACAAAACCCAAACCTCAGACCGAAACTTTGTTGAAAGCACCAGGCTTTGCCATGTTTCTGGCCAAACTACTGGCCCAAATAAGCTGAAAGTTGGCAAATCCATCAGCACAGTGAACATAACTTTTAGGTAGGCCCTGAAAATTCCTGTGTGGTGTAACCACCAGAAGACCGTACATGTCAAGTCCATGTAATCCAGGAGATACATAAGCATGGCTCAGGTTTGTCTTGCTGGTGCAAAGACATGAACAGAGATCAGTGAAATTCAGTTTTTCAGTATGATGCTTCCATTACTGATGCATATTTGTAACAGCATCTCACTTAAGGACAGAAAAGAGAAAGACAGCACATTAGGAGGTATCCAACAGGGAGGAAGAGGGGCTAGGTAGAAGCAAAATGACACAGTTTTGATATTCTTACTTTGTTACATGGGTGGTAATTGTTAACAACGTTTTCATTGGTTTGAGGTGTCCTTCTACATTATGCTGTTTGGAGTATGGTCATGGATGTACTTTTGTTGGTGTGCATTTTACTAGAATTAAAATTCAAATGTAATTCACGTGGTTTTGCATTCAGACGTTCTAAAAAACTGCACCTACTTGAATGATCTTTTAGAGGAGGCAGGATGTAAACAAAGCAATGTAGAGAAGTTATTTCTAGCCCTTTCCATATCTTTGAATCCCCATTTTTAAGCCTGGGAACTCTAAATGAAAAATTGCTAGAATGATTGGTTAACGCTGGTTTTCAACAAAACTTTAAAATTTTCCAATGATGTTCTCCTATATCCTCAGTTTCCATAATCTGAACCTGAAGAAAGCAAATTTTGTGGTAGAATACAGTAGAAACAGAACTCTAGTGATGTCAATAGTCAAAATAAACCTGTCCTACTATAGGTTCAGTCCTCAATGTGTTATTTGATAACTGATTAATTCTGTATTTCCTCTATTTATGATGTTTTTACTGTACATTTTTCTACTGCAGGTTGACAGTGGACCTGTTCCATTCTTAATGTACCGTCTCAAACTAAAACCAAACAACTAAACAAAACAAATGCAGAAAAGGCCAAGCTTTGCCTTTTGCTGATGAACATGTACCTTTAAACTTTATATGTTCCTGTACGTGTATCATGGGATCAGAGTGTGAAGTCAATACAGCTAACAGAAACAGTGGTAATGAGTTTTCCTCTGTCAGTGTACCCACTCCTGGAGGTAGCAGTCTATAAGTAGTATTGGCTAAAAGTTTGAACTAAGCCTAAAAATTGTTTTCAAGATAATCTGATCTCATCTCATCATTAAAAGTGTAGTGATGAGTCTATATGAAATTGTATCTTTTGTGTATTAGCTCATATGTAAGATGTAGCAATTTGAAATAATCCTTTCAGCTTTCAAAATACAGCAATTATTGGGGTGGGCCACAGTAGGTGTTTGATGGTAACTGTCTTTGGTCTACTTTCCTTATTTTTCCTACCTGTTTGTCTTTTTTTTTTCCCTCAGGTTTGTGACCAGGTTTATTGAGCTGGATGGCCTGAGCTGTTTGCTGAACTTCCTGAAGAGCATGGACTATGAGACCTCAGAGAGCCGTATACACACATCCGTTATAGGGTGTATCAAGGCACTCATGAACAACTCCCAGGGACGGGCTCATGTCCTGGCTCATCCAGAGAGTATCAACATCATCTCCCAGAGCTTACGGACTGAGAACATTAAGACGAAGATTGCTGTGCTGGAGATCCTAGGAGCTGTCTGCTTGGTACCAGATGGTCACAAGAAAGTCTTGCAAGCCATGCTTCACTACCAAGTCTATGCTGCAGAAAGGACAAGATTCCAGGTATAAGGAGGATACTTTGCCAGAAATACCCAGTATGATGAAACTTTGCAAGGAGTGATTTTTATAGTTCATGTATTGCAAACTTTCTAGGTAGTAAAAAGGCAATATTTCTCATTTTGTTTTAGGAAAGGCATTTCCTCAAATGGATTATCAGCATACATTTTTTTTTCCAAGACCTGATTGCTTGTCATTAACATTAATTTAAAATATCCTATATTTTACCTTAAAAATAAAGGTTTGTTAAATGAAAGCTGCTAATCCGTTCAAACTCTAACCTGATGGCATTTCTGGGCTGGTAATGATTTGTTCTACCTTAGAAACTGAAGTCACAGAATTCCAGGAGCCTCTGTCCTGATTTTAAAGCCCTTAATTTAGTAATAAAAGAGTTGTGGATTAAATCATGTACAGTGGAGGCACTTCAGTTGTCATTTAGTAATGAACTGGTGAATTGTCACCACTTAGCAAATGTTGTCTCACATAACTCCCATTCAGAACACAGAAGGGAAACTCGATCTCAGAGACCTTGAGGTAGGTCAGTAGATCATTGACAAGCTTTTGTTGTGAATACTACTGGCTGCTATTGTAACGTTCCTCTTCCTAGTGAACTGAGCACCTTACAAAAAGATATAACAGAAGCTGTTGCTGTGTATTAAGCTCCTAAACCTCAGCATCACCTCACTCATTTGCTGTTCTTTCTTAGGTGAAATGATGAGGGCGGTGTTGGGCCAGCAGGCCCTGGATCCTGGTTTCTGTCAGCCATTAACTCCTGCCTCCTTCTCATCAGTGAATTTTGGGCAACAATGAGCTTATGACTGTAAAAGTGAATAGGGAAACAGTCTGTGCTCAGGAACAGTAGCTGCCAATGTTTGTTGTTAGAACTGAATGCATGATGGGATTCACTGACCCCGTAACTCAGACCTGAGACTGGGATGCAGAAGATCTTGGCCTGTTACTAATCTCTATGTGGCATTGGCAGGTCCACCCCTCTGTGTGCAATGCCCTGTTTGCATTGCTTGTCTGTCCAAACTCGGTGCATGACTTTATCATACAATATACAGGTATATGATGTATGACTCCAGAATGGGGAGGCCTTTTGATCTCACTTGAAAGATCTTGAGGCTATTTCAATACAGGAAATATTAATTACAGTAAAAGTTGGAAGGTGAAGAGATTGCAGCTGCAATCATAAGAAATATGATACCATCCTTTAGCACAGGAGTAGGATAGAAATGACCGATGGAGAAGCAGAAAAATAAGCCATGAAAAGAGTTATGATGTGCAGGTTATTGTGGACTGCCTATGAAAGAGAGAAGGGAAAACTTTAAATCCAGCTTATTCTCTAGTAATTTGCTGAAATAAAGAATCCTCCCTGAATTAATCTGACATTCTTGTGTACCTGGTAGACACGTGGAGATAACCTTAGATGCTCGGCAAAAAGCAGTGGTAACTCACGGCCCAGACAACACTTGTGTTTCTGTGTTAACTTATTTTTACTTGACAAGTGACTCTGCTTAATAAGCCTATATGGAAGATAGATGCTGAATTTACTTAGTGGATCCTACTTGGATCCTCTCTCTCTGTTTTCATATTGGTTTAAAATGTACTGAGTAACTGAGGTAAGTCTTTCCTAGGCAAAGTGGGGTAGCACAGGTCTTGCACAGCTGAACTTTTGAGGAATGTAGTGCAATGATTTGCAAGATGCTTACCAACTCACACATTCATGAAAGAGTACTTTGCTTAAATGCTTGCTTTTTCAGATATGTTTTTCTACTGGGGATAAAGTAAGAGATAAATGGATACTCTCTCTTTTTCCTTTCTTAAACAAAACAAAAAAACCCCACCCAAACCCCAAAATTATTTAGCTGAGGGGATGCATTCTTGTTTGTAACTTCTGACACTTGTGTCTAGATGCTGGAAGGGGATTTTCCATTACACAAAGCAATAGCTTGAGTTTAGTTTTGAGGAAGTAAGGGTTCATCCAAAGACATTCCTCATCCATCATCAGTCATTTTCTTCCAATAGAGATAGTGGGGATTTTTTAAATGGTGATGAAACAAATGTGGTTATGGTCTTCCTTACTTTTTAGTGGAAGATTCTCTGATACTCTATGATTTGTCAGTTAAGTGAGTGTTATATCTCTTCGCCTCTTGTCCTCCCACACCTGTGTCTCAGAAAGGTCTTGCAGCTCATTATCAAGAGGAGCATCCACTGTAACTTGACTATGGGAGGCAATTTTAAGAGAAGGATGAGTTGACAATGCTTATCCTATACCTTTACAGTAAACTTCAAAAATGTGTAAAATGAAAGCCAGTGAAACCCCCTTCTTTTTCTTTATTCTAGTCCTAAGGGTAATCTTCATAACCCAGATTTTGAAAAACTCTGAAGGGATCCTTTAGGTTTCAAACTGAAGTCTTTTGGGGATGTGTTTTCTGTACCTTTAACAACTAGCAGCATCACTCAATGTATTGAAGTGTCTGAACAGTTTAGAGCTTGCAGCTTTAGGTTGACTTCGGCCACACCTAATCACTGTTACATGAAAAATGATCCCCCACAACTGGGCATCTGGCAGAAACAAGAAACAATAATTCTTTCTGTGAAAAGTAATAAAAAATGAATTAAACTGTAGGAGCAGGAGAAACGTAATGTTCAGAGTAGGAATTTATTCCTTTGGCTCTATGGTTCGTTATTGCTCACTGATTCTAATGGTGGGAATAAAGGAAAGCTGAGATCTGTAAAGGCACTGCTTAGTCTTTCTCTAGGTCTAGCTCTGTAAGACAGTGGCCACATTAGAGACATAATACCTAAGAGGAAAATAATTTCAGATTTTCAACTGTGGAAATCAAACTCAGTTCTTGTGTAGTAAAAAGTGTAGGGCTTTCTGGAAACTGTACTGAGCTCACTTTTGTTGCAGTGTCCAATAAATAACTTAGAGGTAACACTGACCTCTGACATCGTCAGTGCAATTGTTGCTTTTCCTTAAGTTGTCTTCCTGACAACAGTGGCTGATAGTATTCTTCATCCTTTTCAGCCACCTCACTGTCAATTTATCCCTTCTCATCTATGAAAGCTGGCACTTTGTATACTATGTGTTTGGATTTATTTTCCCCTTTTACAGATTGCAGTGTCCCACTCTCCCCATATCATCTGTGGTGACCACAACTGTGTACCTAGAGAAATCAGGAGGTAAATGTAAGAAACACTGTTCCAGATCTACTTTTCCCCAACAAAAAATGTTGGGTTTTTTATTGGGTTTTTGGGGGTTTTTGTTCTTGCAGAGGAATATCATGGTGATGAATAAAGACTTGAGGTGCATGGTTCTGATTCCACTCCTCTCTGTAAAAAGGAGGAAGAGAGGTTCAGAATTATTTACTGGCAACCAACTTAAGCTTGTGCATAACTTGCTTCTGACAGCTTTAGATTGAACACTGATTATTTCCAATTTGCACATACTCAAGTGTTGTGGAGTGACGTAGAGATCATGTATTTAACATGGTAATATAAAACATGGCATGTTTCATTGAATGTCAGAAGTTGTTCTTGGTCAGTGTTCTAAGCACAACTCTTACTACCTGGCACAGCTAGCTAAAAGTAATCAAAGGACCCAGCAGCTGGTGAATTAGTAGAGAAGGAAAGCTGCAACTTAAGATCTGTTTTTTACTAAACTTGCATTGGCTTTGTCCTGCTATAACTCCTATTATTTGGATAGGAAACTTGCAGTTGTAGGTTAGTGTATCTAATGTCAAAATCCAAGTTAGTGATATTCCTGAGTGATATAAACATTTGTAATCCAAATTAATTAAACCAAATTGTACCAGGTCATACCAGAGAGGAGTCCAGAGAGAAGTCACTTTAAAGATATGGAATGTTCTCAAGAATTTTCTGTTCTTTGTTGAGACTTCAGTAAAATGCCTTGTAGTACTGGAACTTCACGCTATATCTCTGCTGTTCAGTGTGTTCACAGGTTTATTGAGATCGTATTTTTCTTGGCACTTGCAACAAGATTCTATATTTTATTTTTATGTCTGATTTTATATTGTGGCTCTTCCTATTTTCTCACATTTGCCACAGCTTCTTGCCTGAGCTGATCCCTTTGCCTGCTTTAATCTTTGATCCTTCTTTCATGCTGCCCTTCTGCCTGGAATAACTCCCTTTAATGTCCGACAGGCAGCCTGCAGTTTCTCTTTTAACGTATTCCTTGAAAACTGTCCTCTTCAGAGTAATATTCCATCTTTACTCAAATACTGCAATGATATAAAGGCATGCCTTCAATCTCCTTCCTGAGGCAATCTGGAAAAGCTCTGTCTTTTCTTCATCCAATTTTTGAAATATGTTTCTTTGCCTACAAATTCTGCTCTGCCCCTTAAATAAGAGAAATTAAAGAAAGCACAGAAAGCCAGACAAT